ATATATATACGCGTCATGCACGGAGTGTATATTTATATTATCCGTACGGTTATATACCCAACATATATATATATAAATACACGTGGGCGAGCTCGGCCAGCCGCGGACGGGGGAGGGTAGGCGATCGATCGGACCCTCTGGCATATTATATATTGTACAAGAGAGAGAGAGTCGAGCACCCTTGCCTGCACACCCCCCCGATGACGAGCCCACCCACTCGTCCTGCGCAGGTAGCAGCGCGCGCATTGTTTATTGTCTCCGTGTAGCCACAGTGGCGAAGGGGCGGTAGAGCTCAGCCACCCCCGCTGTATATGGATATACGTGTAAAACGGGGAACAAAACATAATTGTAAATACAATATACATCGCATCGGAGGATAAAATAAAGGGTGCTCTGTGTATATATATATGTAGGTAAGTGTAGAGCAAGACACGAGATGAGGACTGCAGTGGCCTCCGTCGTCTGAGGTATATATGATGGTCAGCCAATGGGAGCGCCCGGACGGGGCTGGCTCCGCACACCCGCGCCCGGCAAATCACAATGCTCATTGTTGTATACATGCGCGCGCGCCTACTCTCTCTCTCTCTCTCTCTCTCCTCTGGTATTATTATATCCTGCCTCCTCTCCTGTATATGGTATTTGGCCGCCCACACCGCAGCAACCGCGGTTCTTCCCACCCACCATCTCGCTCCTCTTTCTCTCCCCCCCTCCCTTTTTTTTTTTTTTTTGCTCCCCTCTTTATTGTATATAAGTATGTACACCTATATACTTGTACCTGTATATGTATATGTTTGAGTTGACGGGATCAGGTGTAAGGGCTTCCAAGCTGCGCGTGTGGGGGAGCTACGATACGAGATGGTGGTGGTACTTTATGTTTTTTTTTTTTTTTGCGAAATTTAGCTGTTTTTATTACGTTGCCAGGTAACTTTGATACAACTGTAGGGTCTGGTTGGAAAAAAAGGGTGCATGCAGAGAAGAGAACTTTCAAACAAAAAAAAAAAAAAAAAGTAGGTTAATAAACGTCTGAAATAAACCATAATTTCTCATCCGTACGGGATTCGTGGTGGGATTCGTCAGCAATTTTCGCTTTGATTATGAAAAAAAAAAAAAAAAAAAGAAAAAAAAAGAACTGGAGGATTTCCAGTGTCCAGCTGCAGCACAAAGATATAAATACCCAATCACAAACGTTTAACGTCTCAATCAAGGATCCATTAACAGAGTGGCGTGTTTCCTTCATGTTGCCGCCTTCCTTTGGGATGCTTCGAGAGGAGGCTAAACACGCAACTGTATCGATGGGCCCTAATATCTCCTTCCGAAATAGAATGCCCAAAGCCACGGATAGCTTCAAACTCGGGTCATTCAATCCGTGCACATACGATATAAATTTAAAAAAAAACAGCTATTATTGACGTCCAACCTTTTACCGATCCGAAATACGTTTCGTTAATTTTGTACAAATACGAAGACTTTTGTACCTATCCATATGTATTTAGTCATGTATAGTATATGCGCATGTGTACGCGTTTAAGCATGTATGTAGATTTACACAAATGAGAAAAGGGAGATTGACGCGTCAAACTCTGTCTGTTTGTCAAGTTCAAATGTACGAGCTTTTTAAACAAGTGTGTCTGCACGGGTGTATAAATATGTGTGTGGGGCATAGTATAGTGATGGACCGCACGTTATATGCTTGGACTTACGGATCAAAGTTGCAGGTTTATGATTTAATGGGCATCTCTTTGGAAAATCGACTTACCTGTAACATAAAAAAAAAAGAAAATCGATTATCAACACGTGCCATACGCGTGGTATGTGTATAAAAAAATAATTTACATTAATAATAATAATAATAATAGTATAGGTGGCATGTGCAATTTTGCAACGAAATGTTGTATATAAGTTGCAAAACCAACGAAAACCAGGTAATTATCGAGTTATCGAGCAACTTCACATCGTACCTGCATGTGATGTATATATGGGTGCACCAAACCAGTCAAGTATACGCTTGTATAGCTTTCAATTTCACAATTAAATATACTCTCCACGTAATGAGCAGTTGCACCAATCTTGTTGGATATTTTTCGCTGTTAACGAAGTTATCTTTTTGTTTTTCATTTATTATATACGCTTTTCATAAAA